GTGAATACAGGGGCTTTTTGGGGGGGAGTGATGCAAACGTTCTAAAATTGCTTGTGGTGCCTGACTGTCCACCGCTGGACTGCACACAGCAAACGGGTGAACTGCACAGTATGTAGATTATACCTGAATAAAGCTGTTACCGAAAAACATAATGACAGAAGATCTGAACTGTAATGAATGGTGTGTTAGTGTGCGTGTCTTCCGACCTCAAAGACCGATCATTGGGGATTTTAACATCTGTTACCTTCGGTGACCCCTCTGTGGCTGCTGAGTCACAGCACATTTTAGCTGACATTCCTTACAAAAAGGCCCGGAAAACTAAACTGCTTTTGAAACACTGTTTCTTTTTACTCTTATATAAGAAAGTAAAATAATTAGAAAACAAACCAAAAAAAAAAAATCTATTAACCCGTCGGCGCTACTGGAAATTTCTTGGGTTCGAGATTCAAAGACAAAAATCTAAGTGTTGACTGCATGTCTGTTGGACTGGACTGGATCTTGGAAGAAGCGGCACACGCTTAAGTCAAAGTTAGAAAGGTATTCATGTCACAGGATACTGTAAGAACACTCGTCAGGTGTTTGGTTTAAAAACGTAGCCTGGGGGGCTGCCAGCCCCGGCTCTTCTGCAACATGGTGGTCAAGGGCTTTACACAACCCCGCCGCTGGTTGTTTCGTTTCTCACGCGCTTTAGATTCTCTGTTCTCCATACCACGTGAAGAAATTAGTCTGCATTTGGAAATGTTTATAGCCAGACGGGAACCTGGGAGTCATCACTATCCCCTCCCCATCCTCACACCCGTCCACAAGCTACCATCGAGCACCAACGCTTGTCCTTCCCGAATCTCTCCCGGCTCTACCTTCCCTCCGTCCCAAGCCCTCGGCATCTCATCTGGACCATCACACTTGCCTCTCAAACCGTCTCCAGTCTCCACCCTCCTTAATATAACATGTCAACGACCTAGCGGCATCCTGCCCTGCTGCAAGTCTTTCTGTAGCTTCTCACTGTCCGCGGGGTAAAGACCAAATGACTGCCACGGAATACAAGCTTGTGCAAGGCCTGGGCTCTACCAGCGCCACAGAGGGGGCACTGACCACTAAGTTACAATTTCCACGCACACGTTTATAACCTACCAGGCCGGGGCCCCCTCCCCTTGAGCGCAGGGGCTGTGTTTTAATCGCTTTTATATCCTAGCCCAGTGCTAAGGGGAATAACAAGTAGTCAAAAAAAGTTCAGTGAACTAAATAAATTTTTTTAAATACCAAAGAGAAGAAAACCTTACTAAATCTGGGCAAAACCAAGTTTCAGAAGTGAACCCCGAGATGCAGAAACTCCCAAATGCAGTAAAACCAGCACAGAGGACCTGAGGGGGTCGGCGTGAAGGTTACAGATCAGTGAGCTCTGGAGGGAGTCTTTTTCCTGAAGACGACTTCTTGCTCTTGTATGTTTGACACAACGGAGGAGATTCGGTCTAAAGGACTTTTCTTGTTTTTACTAGGAGGCCGATCATTTTTTCCATTCTCGGGTTTCGCTTGCTTCTCACAAACTGACTAAAACTAATCAACATGAAGACACCAGAGCCCTCGCGGTCTGACATCTGGCAGCTCCATTTCTTAATGAGAACTGGGAACATGTAAAAGTGCTGCAGTTAAGTAAATTTATCACTGAAACAGTACTTTAAATTTAATACCCCAGACACAATAACTGTGAGCAAACTGAATTTATGTATTTTTAAAAACCAAGCTGGCAGAGTGAATGTTATATAGATATCCTAATCTCCCTATTTTTGCCAATGTTTAATTTTTTTTAACTCCTTACTCTCGCTCTCTAGAAAATAAGAACGTCTGTCCACATACCAATCCACGTGCTTGTCTTACGAGGCTGGAGCCCGGGACTCTGAAGACCCAGGTCCATCTGAAACAAGTTCCGGCCCAGGAGAAGGGCGGGCCACTGGGCGACCCCGGGGCCGGACGGCGGGACAAGCAGCACCCACCTGTAGCCCACCTTGCGGGCATAGTGCAGGCAGTTCTCCTTCACGTGGGTCTGGAAGTAGGCAGAGCGGCAGAGGGCTCCGCACTCCGGACAGCAGTAAGGGGACTTGTGCGTGTGGATCCGCTGATGGGCACAGAAGCTGCACTGGTTGGGCAGAAGCATCTGGCACACCTGGCAAGTCTAGGGAAGAAAACCGAGGAAACGGTTCACGCAGGTGCCGCAGGCCCGTGGCTCTCCAATAGCAGCTGCCTGGCTTTCTTAGGACAAGGGTCAGAATAAACTGTCCCGCTCCCTGACCCCCAAACCCCGCACGACCATTCTCTCTTCCAGCTCTCTTAGGGTACTGGGACACCCCAGGCCTCACTGAAGGTGTTGGTACTGACACCCAAGCAAGCTTTACCTCTTATCTTAATCAGAGACAGACCTGACCCAGTTTTCCCAAAGATCAGTCCTGCTCTAGGACTGAGTGTTTCTTCCTTGGGCTTAGCAGAGGACCAGCTTTTCCTCTCCAAAGGCCTCAGGCGCCTCTTGAATTCACTGCCAGACTCCCCAGGGCCTCACCCTAGCTTGGCAGAGGTGGTTCCTACTCAACACCTTGTCAGATGGTTCGGCGACTTCCTCAGGGGACTGGAGCCTACCCTGACTGGCTGCAGAAGCCCCAAGTGCAGGCAGACGGAGTGGTCTTGCCAGTTTCCATTCCCTCAGCCCTGCCTGTCCACTCTGGGTGGGTACGGGTGGATCCGAGGGAACACGAGTCCTGCAGCCAGACTCACCGGAGCGCTAACGGGCGGAACCCAGGCACCCGGAGGGGGAGCAACGGGCTGAGCGGGTGCCCACATCTGCATAAGCCCTTCTTAGCAAAGAGGAGGCAACTACACTGCTTCCTGGGGTGGCCTGACCTGGGTCCGAGGAGCTGTGCAGGGGGACAAGCTGTTACGGAGGACAGGAAAGGAGCTCTGCTTTTATCAGCAAAATCCAGAACGTGGGGCCTCTGCAGGACAAACCCAGCTCTTTCCACAAATAAATTGCAAGGCGAAAAAAGAGAGGGGAGGGGAGCTCACAGATATAGGAGAAACTCTGAACAACTGCGACGCATAGCACTTATTTGGGAAATGATTCAAGCCAGCCAAGTGTAAAAAGGAATGAGAGTAACTTAATCATCTTATTATGTTTAATACTAACTGGGAACACTATGTAAACCAGGACTGTCTAACCTCTAAGCTGTACACCTCAAACCAACACAAAATAAAATTGAGCCCTAGATGGTTTGGCTCAGCGGCTAGAGCGTTGGCCGGGGGACTGAAGGGTCCCGAGTTCGATTCCGGCCAAGGGCACGTACTTGGTTGCAGGCTCCATCCCCGGCCCTGGTCAGGGTGTGTGCGGGAGGCAGCCAGTCCATGTCTCTCTCTCACATCCGTGTTTCTCTCTCTTTCTCCCCCTTCTGAGTGAGGGGTATTTAAAAAAACAAAACACATAATAAAAAAAAGGGGGGGTCCGATCGGGTGGAGTTGGACAAGAAATTTAAAACACTTCCCTAGAGTGGAGGCCCACCCCTCCCACCCCCTACCCTAGACATGACCTGAAGCCAGGGTACTGCTCCGGGAAACCCAAATCCAACAGCTTTCAAGGCAGGGTTTTGATCCCAGAGCTCAAGCCTCACCCTCTCTCGGAGACTCGGAGTCCACTTTTACGGGCAGGAGATTGAGAGGGGTTAGTTGGGCCGAGGCCGAGAGAGGCCTGACAGTGCTCCTGGGTACTCCCACCCTTCCTGTCTGGGGGGCCCTGGTGTCCAGCTCCCACTAGAGGAGATGATCCAGAGAAGACGCAGGATGGGAGGGGTGCCAGCCTGGGATCCTACACCCAGACTTCCGCTCACACTTTAGAAGAAGGGTGAGGAACAGTGTAGGAAAAAACCAGAGGCCCAGGCATCAGACCACCCCTGGCAACGGTCCTGCTCACATGACTCAGAAGACTGACCTGGGACCAAGTCATCCCTGCTGGTACATGAAGCCCCCTGAGGAAAGGGCCGGAGGGGCCATACTCCGCCTGACCCATTGGAAGGAAAACACAAACAGAAAAGGAGGTGAACATGCAGGCAACAGCGGCCCTGCGGCACCTCGCTGGCCCCTTTGGAACTGCAGAAGCCCCGCGGTCCCACCGAATTCCTCCGCCTCTCCCCCAGTACCCCTGAGGCTGGCCGCACTCCTGACGACACCCCGATCTCACAAACACGGGCGATTTCACGTACCTGCCTCCCTCTACCTGAATCCCCTGCCTCTCCCCCTCCTCCACGCTTAAAAGTCACCTGTGGCGTCACGGTGAGCTAGGTCCTAGGAGGCACTCTCTGCAACTATGTTGACGAGCCTGTTTCAGCCCTGCTCTGAGTCTGCACACAGGGCAGCTGTTTGGGTGGTGAGCCGAGGGCGACTCCCTCCCGCTGGCAAACCCCCGCGCTCAGCTCGGAGCCCCATGCGCGCCAGGGGCGCTCGGAACAGCGCAAAACTCAAGGGCCGCCAGCAGGTGTACAGGGCCCTGCTGAACCGAAGTAAGAAGAGCTGCTGTGCGTGCTCTCGTCCCAGGCTCTGCAGCACTGGCTGCGGGAGGCTGGTGCAGGGGCATGGCTGGTCTTGGAGAGACTCCTTCCCCCGGCAGGACACTGACACAGAGGGCGCCAAAGGGTATTCTCAGCACAGATGCCTTTTTTAAAAAACAAATAAAGCCAGATCCCGTCAAACATAACCAAGAATGGGAAGCGGGGAAGCACAGCTGCTTTCCTAGAGGGGTGAGAACAGAGGGAAGGAAGGGCCCGCAGGTCTGTCTGCTCTCCTTCCGCCCACATCACCCTGAGGCTGGCCCGGCTGCAGTTTCCCCAAAGGATTCTGCACGAAGAGCTGTGTCCACTGTGGGCAGAACGTGGTAAAGGCATGGTGCTCGGAAGGGCAGGCCCAGGCGCAGAGCAGTGTCATCTACCTCTGCCCTGAGCCCGGGCACCTGTGAAGACTGCACCGACACCTGCCAGAGACGATGGCACTGTCCAGTCCAGGCCTAGCCCAGGCCTGATGAGCGGCCCTGACAGCCCACTGGGTGGGAGCTGAGTGGACCATGGGGCTTATTCACTCAAGCAGGCCTCGAACCGTCAAGACAAACATCTTCTAGCTCTCCTGCCCCCACGGATGAGCCTCTCTCTCCCCGCCCGACACGGAGCCAGTGGGGAGTCGGGGCGTGACGTCGGCCGCAGGAAGGGCCACTTACCAGCCCCTCGGTTTTCTCCGCGGTCCTCTGGAAATGTGCCGCCATGACCGTGTGGTCGCGGATCTGCTTGTGACACTCGAGACACTTGATTCCGTGCCGGATGAGCCTCACGGGGTCTGGGTAGAGCGGCAAGGCCGGGATGGTGGAGCTGGCACTGTCCGAGGCGGGGCTGTGCTTGGGG